AAAGTTGGTTGATCGCATCTGGATAATTGTGTGGTGATTTGGTACATGCGTATAACATCGATATTTGCTATGTAAGGAAATTATCACTGAATATGCTGCCTATGAAGTATAGCTATTAGCTGTACCAGACGGGTTATTTGAGTTATCCTTTCTGAATATTATAAATTGCGATTTTTTCCGTTTTTTTTTTTCGCGTTTTCAAAAACTTTGAGAATCATTACGGGAAATCACCTACCGTGCCCGCGTTATCACAGCATAGACAAACTAGGATCACGCACAAAACATTGTGTGCAAGGTGCTGATTTGTATTTTCGACTTGACGTCGCAAAATATATTTCTGTAAAATTTAAATGACTTTAAGTAAATAAAAAATTATCTAAAATATTACATCTTATCTATTTTTCATTTCATTTTTCACGTTTCATAAATATTCTTGTCTGTGGCATATTTTCTCATTGGGGATTTTCTTTCCTTATCTCTCCCATTTTGAAATTCAGTGAGGAATAGGGAGGAAGGTGCTGCTGATTGATTCCGAAAAAGACAGAAGCTGCTACGTACGAATACGCATTATTCGTTTCTCAAACATTTTTAAATAGTCCAATTTATCAAGTAGCATGAGAATTCCAAGCTGTCAAAATCACAGTAAGTTTTGTTGTCAGGCTTGGTTGCATGAAATGAGGGCGAATTAATATAAAAAAGAGGAAAAGGTGATAAATAACATTTAGTGGTACCTGAAGCACCAACAAATTGAATTGATCAACACATCGTGGGGTAACGTGCATATGAAAAATAATGTTCTATGCATACTAACGTGCCAGGAAAGATAACACTCATCTTCATGAGAACTGATAGTCCAGGTCAGATAACTACCGTTGGCGAACTTTGGGGTTTTGGTTACTTTTTTATGGTGCATTAATTTCTCGGAGAGGTGAGAAGATGTCCAAAAACATAACATCACCTAAGGTGAGGAAGTAATAGAGTAATGATGTTTATTAATCACTGATACCTCACCTCAGAATTTCTGCCTGTATGAATCCCGCAAACAACTTTTCGTTGATGTATGCCCGTGGTTATTTTACGACAGCAATTATTCAAGATTCTGTATGCAGACCGCTAATGTAAGAAGTAGCGTAAATATTTTAGATGGGAATAAAATGCATTTTTAATGAAATATAGACGTTCGTAGACGTTTAACGACACACCCCATCGATAAAGCGCCATATAAAAAGTTGTTATAAACTTCTGTGGCCCTGATTAAATGATTTTATTGTCCATAAACGACTACTAGCGTATAACCGCGCGTATCACATGGATTAGCAAAGATTTATCGTCGTAGTAACATCACCAGTGTCGTGGGGTGAGGACATCAGACCTCGCCCACAAAACACTGCCAGCTCTTTGCCTTCAAGGAACTGTCCATATTTTAATAAGCACCTCAACATAACAAATAACCAAATGAATTTTGAGTGAACGTTCAAACGCAAAGTTCAAAGTAGGTTTTACGCTGCTCGAATAGCTCACATGCTGAAAACGTCTCTCATATATGTGGAGAAATGACGCCTCGAATATTGAGGTGTTATGTAATTTAGCCTAAATCACTGCAACTTTCATTTCGCCAAGAAGGTATGTAGGTTACAAGTTGAGACGGAAGTATTATACAGTTATACTGACATACTGCTTTTGGAGCAAGATGTGGTAGAGGAATTATAAATGGTATGATCGCAATTCGCTACCTGTCTGCGCAAGCACAGGCATGTGTACAGCTTTAGCACTATTTGATCATCGATTTCGATGTATCAAGCGTATCCCTGATTACGAGTAGATTTCACTAGGTCAAGACCAGCGAATTCGTTGGGCATATCAATACTCACATACTTATGATGATAGTTCATGAACTGGGAAAATTTTGATCAGAGTTAGCAGGGCGGTTGTCATTTCTGAAATAGTATCGAAATTCAACTCGGCGCCAAAGGTAGAGCTAGTGTGAAAACCCTAAGAAGTAGTTGTACGAGTTTTACGTTTGATAGCAGCAGTTGTTCACTGATCGCGATTTTTACAGTTATAATATAAAGTAGGTAGTTGCATAAGTAGAGGAAGCTTCTGAAGTATTTTTTTATACCGAAGCAGCCGCACAGGCAGCGGCCTAAATGCCGGGACATCGCACCTGCTATGAGGATCCCAAAGAAATTTTGTTAATCCGATTTTTGAACTGCCTAAGATTAGAAGAACTGGGAAAAGCTTTCTCTTCTAGATTATTCCACAATCTCGACACCCTCGGGACAAAGGAGCGGGCGAATCGACCTGTTCTGGATGTACGAAGTTCGACACGGGTAGGATGGGAGGCCAAAGTCAGGCGGATCTGTCTGGCAGGCGCATCGCACGGCGGCATCATGGAAGAGAGCTCTGAGAAGCAAAGCCCGTTGGAGTAGCGGTAGAAGAGAGCTAGATCGCCGACGGTCCGCCGGTGCGAAGGGGTCCCGAGACTGTCTGCTAGAGAAGAGTCATCGATCGGTCGGACGGCCCTCCTCTGGACAGCATCGAGCACAATTAATATAGTCGGGGTGGCAGCATCCCAAACGTGTGAGCAATATTCGATGCTAGGCCTTATCTGGGCCTTGTATAGAGTGAGAAGGTCATCCGGAGAAAAGTACTCCTTAACCCTAAGCAAGTAGCCTAGCTTTTTCCCAGCAGCTGCCGCTATTGACTATATGTGTTCGTGCCAGATCAAACCCTCGGTGATCTGGACTCCGACGAGCCGAAATGAATGGCTCCTTGGCATCCATCAAAACCGGATGCATCCTAATGCTTTTTGTTCGTGAAGGTACAGTACTGTGTTTGAACTGTGAATCTCGAACATCTCCGCCTGACTAGCAACAGCTACTATGCATTACGCCACCTGAGATCAGTCGCATAGGTCACGTCACACGTTATGAAGTTCATTCACTCGTTTGAGGAGGAACATGGCATTGAGTTTCATATTATGATATAATCAAAGCTTTAGATCAGTTGGCGCATACTGCACTTCTTAGCCAACTTCTAGTCTACAGCCTTTCAGAGGGCATTTTCTTTTCGTTATCTCTTCATCCGGAGGATAGAAAGAAGGACCACCCCTTTCGAATAAATAATATGCTGAAGAACAGCGATACATTCTTGGACTAGAGACGATTTTGTCTTCAGAGATGTTTGCTATGCTGGTACAATTTTGGACATTTTCGAGTCTGCCTCCGTCAGTGAGGCAGACACGCTTGCCTAGAAAATCATAGTGTAAGTTTAGAGTGCAAAACTTTCATGCACGCCCTTGTCTTCTAGGAATGATCCCGTTTTGCTACACTTTGTATCTTATGAGGCGGGTACATCCATATAGAAAAAATCTGTGGTGTAGAAAAAAGCTGGATCATCTGTTTAAAGCTGTGGACTACTTCTCACCATCTCAGGTTTTTATTCTACACAAAGCAGATCGGAGACATGTTAAGCTTAAGAAATCGAATATCTAGGAAAATTGACTGAATAGACTTCGAGCCCGTAAATCTTAGTCTCTGACTTACAGAACCGTGAGCAAGATTCACTGCTAGTGATAAAATCTGTTTGTAGATTAGAGTCGGATCTCAAAGGTGCTCGATAATTCAGTCTGAACAAATTATATCCTTCTGTCCTCCTACACTTCATAGTTAGAAGACGGGGAAGTATTAATGCCTTATGACGTGACGTAAATAGGTACATATCATTGAGTGAGTCCGTGCTAGCCGTCCCTGAAAACTATTTGTCCGTTGAAGTAAGGATGTGTTATCACAACCGCCGACTACATATAAACAAAGCTAGTTGCCGATTTTACCATCTCTCCTGCTGAGCCTTGTCAGTATTGATGTGGGGTTAGTGCTTATGTGCTGTCGGCTTTGTGTGATCAATGGGAATTATACAAAAAAGGGTTATGTCGATGAAAGAACGCTAGAATGTAGAAAATAGGGATACGGCGAGACTTTGTCCCAGCACCGCCACCCTGTAACGTACACAGCACAAAGTTTGCATCTTTTCTTCCAAAGAGTCCATATAATGTACGGAACTATGCACTGTAGTAACTTATTCTCACCCATTTATTGATGATCTACACTTTAACTTCCAAAATCTAGTCTAGTCGATGCTTATTAGTAACGCCTCCCTTTCATCATATCTGACATTTCTCCCATTCCTGCTTCCCACGGCAACTATCGAGAAGTTATTGTAATCGCAAAAGCTTAGAAAATGAGATAATACCTTTTTGAGTGACATTTCTGTCGGTTTGTTTGTCTGTCCACTGTACATCTTTTAAAGTATGGCACGGATTTTGATGAAACTTTTACTTTATATTTATTATGTATTAACCTCCAAAAATCAGTGAAGGCCGGGGGCTATCGGGGTGGAAGGCAAATCTTTAATCTTAGAAATCAAATCTTAAATACAGTAAACAAAACTATGCTAAATATGCAATTTTAGGAGGCAGCTAAAGGGGGGTCCTGCGGTCTGAGTTCATAAACAACCTACTGTTGCTATTTATTAGAGGTTGCACCTCACTTCAGTCAAAAAATCAGTGGGCGGGACCCTAAACCCCGTTTGCAAAGCTTTCGTTTATACCGTCTTATATAGGCAAATATCATAGCTGGTATTTCGACTTTATTTGAATATACACGTTTTGAAAGGCTTTCCGCAGCCAGGAACTCCACATGATGGAGTGAATCATTTCTATCAAGACTTTATAATATAGCATTACATGACCCTGTGTTATCAGATGGCAAGAGAAGTCGGCTAGCACATTTAACGCCAGCCTAAGAAACTAAACTATTTAAATATTCCATTTATTTCGTGGTATTACGCCTAAGGCAAAATAGAGTTTAGTACAGAGCTCATAACTGACAAGTTCTAATGGCTGACACAGCACCATTGGAATAGTTCGTATGCGGAAATATGTTTAGAATACATTCGTCCTTGCTTGTTACCACCATTTCCGAGTAATCGGCATATCTCACCTGCACCAGCAAAGGTCGTAGCAGCTACTGTATACGTGGTTTTCCTCCCGATTTTTAATTGCGACTTGTAACACTAGAAATTAGACGTCACTTAAAACATGAATAATATCTCTTACTTGTTAGTTCTAACGACACCTTGTCATGCTCCACTTATTCTCCAGCTGCTGTCCTTGTACTTGACCGGTGACTCCGGTTGTCCGTTTATTCCAATTACGAATTAGCTAGAGATCATGTGCATAAAAGAAATGTCCTTGTTTGGCTAAGAGGTTGTTATGCAAAAAATGATCCTGAGACAAACTGGATAGTTCAATTATAGCAACAGATTTAATACTTCTAATGAACCTACAGTTATACACATGCGTGTCACAAAAGCATTCGGAGAAAGAATACTTCACAGGATGCCACCATTTCAAATTAGTCACTAGTAACTATGAAAAATTGAACGTTAGGAAACCAGTGACATATTGTTATAATGAAGATATAATGTGAATAATATGGTGATATTATTTTATTGTGTATTAAAACTTCCGATGATGTAAGATACCTGTCTCCTGCTTAAATTTTTTGTTATCTGCGATTCGATAAGTAACGAAATGCCCATCATATGTTAACGGATGCAAACTAGGCAGGAAGTACATACAACTTTGGACAATCGAATGTCGCAACAAGTGCGCCTGGACGTTGGTTGATTGGCTTTATGTTCTTTTCTTGAAACATCTTTCGGTTTGTATTGTATTACCAATGCAACAGTTTTTGGGACTCAAGTCAAAACACAAATGAAGTGTCTGAAATTATGGTAGAAGTTCGGTTCGACTCGCTGCATCCGCACTGAAATGTACTACATAAAATTGTGCATACAAAGGATACCGCACTATACAGGGTGGCCCATCCATGTGTGGACGGAATATTACTCATAAACAAATACATTTTGAGAAATCTATTAATGGCATGCTATACATGACATATGAGGGCACATTTCTAAAATATTGGCAATTATACAGGGTGTCCCAGTTTTGACCTACATATCAAAGTTGTGATTTCTTGAATGAAATGCGTCAAGTTTTATTGCATATTTGGATAAACCAATTCAAAAGAAGAAAATTGGTAATTAGCTACTGAGATATAAGGTGTTTTGTATAGAAAAACCCCCCAATTCGGCAACCCCTCAGTCTGCCATTTTGAAATTTCGAGTACTGAATTTTGTATCAAAAAAAAAAACTTACACACCTTAGCTTTTATCTTATTTGTTACTTTTTCGAATTTTAATTTTTGCTCATACAGGGTGGTCATAAACGCAAATTGTACTTTTTCTAAAAAATTTCAAATGCATCACCCTGTATATTTGTGCAAGTTTGGATTCAATTTTTTCATAAGCTTTTTTATAATAGACACATAAGGGTTTTTACGGCTATTTTTTCGGTTATGAGCACGGCTTAATTCCCTAAAATATCGCAATATCAAACACTGTTTGTCTTTTGTTTCCATGGATGCTGTGATTTTTTTCTTTAATTTTGGTGTATTGTTCTATTAGAAGCTTAATAACTCAAAATCTAGTGATTTTATCTGGATCAAATCTCATACCAAAAAAAAGCTTATAAGAAATTGAATCCAAAGTTGCACAAATTTACAGGGTGATGCATTTGAAATTTTCGAGAAAAAGTAGAATATGCGTTTTTGGCCACCCTGTATGAGCAAAAATGAAAATTCGAAAAAGTAACAAATAAGATAAAAGCTGAAAGTTTTTTTTTATATATTATTTATATTATATATGACCAAACCAGCTGTATCAGTTAGCAAAACTCTCGTAAGTCCATACTTTGATTACGCACAATAAAAACTGTATTACCGACAAATATACCAGTTTTTAGGTACTATTTGAGTTAAATGTGGTATTTGAGTTCTGAAAGATTGAAATTTCGTGTAACCTTCGCAGTATAGTGATAATATGGAGAAAGTCCGAAAAACTGTTATGGACGTTGTTTTAGCAGTAAAAAGCGTAAGTCGTATATACTTGAACAAAATAATCATATTACTCATATTTTGCATTGCTTATCATTGAAAAGTACAATTAAATATTGTCTTATTAACATGTACGTTTTAATTTTGTATGTTTTAGTATTTTTAAGGTACAAAGGGGATAATCATGGATCGACCATCGTGAATAAAAGGGCGTCAAGTAGGTTGACTCTGCACTTCCTATGCAACGTTGTCATCAGTTCATGAAAGATTATGTTCCACACAAGTTACGCCGTCACGCAAAATGTATGTCTTGTCGATGAATAGCCCTCCTCCCTATTCCTCTGCGGCCGCATATGATATCAGGCGTGGATGGCGATCGCTTTAGATCGAGTCGAGCAGTGGGGGTCAGGGGGGGGGTGAAACTCATGTGCGAGAATGGGAAACATAAGCGGTGTTGCTGGTGCACAATATGACAATCATGGCGCACCCTCAAAAAATGGCCGCTTATTCACAATTGACGTTGTCTGACTTGCCAGATTTAAACTTCTTGCTGGTTTCTTTCTGTGCTTACTTTACCTTTTCCAACATTTTATTTTCATAAAATTTCACTTTAATTCAATCCCTACTATGTTATTTGAGCCATATTTCCTTTTGTTCAGAGTTTTGAAGTATATAAATGTAAGTACACAAAGCTGTAATATGTTTGTAAATAGTATGTCAACTCCAAATAATAAGTGTATCTTTAAGGTGGGTGATCCAAAGTGATCCCACAGATCAGAGATGCAGCAGTTACTCATTTGACGAATGTAATATTTGAAGATAATGCCTTTTGAAATTTCCAGATTACTTTTTGAACAGTGGAGCACTACAAAAAGTTCAACAGCCAACTCCTGAGGACCTGAGAATAATCAGAAGTTCAGAGATTACTTGTGTTCCCATACAAATATTAACAACTTATAGAGATAAAAGAATAAATTGATAAAAATAGAATCAAAATTTGATTTGAATGAAAATAATGAAAATAAAATATTGGACATTGGGATATCTTGATAACTTATAGTCAACATTAAATATAGGTTTAAGTTGAAAAATACACTTGGACTGGAATACTGTTACTGTGAAAAATTATTAGATGCTTGTAAAAATGAGTACAAATTGTGTCTGTGGTACCTTCTGGACTCTAAATGTTGTTGTTTATGGACAATAACGTGGGTGCCCTCAAAAAGTTTTCAGGAGAGCCGGTGCCTCTCCTCAGAATCCACTTGGACCTTAAAATTTGCATATTTAGTATAATATTGTTTGTAACTGAGGACTTCTTAGGATTTGTCCTCCCTGGGAAAATTTGCGACCCCTGCTCTTAAAAAAGGTTTGGGGGCAGGTACAATTTCACAAAAAGTCGATGATCAGCACGGTGCTGACAGCACCCCTGAGAAAAATTGTTGTGGTTACCTATATATTATTGTTCTAATAAAAAAGATATCTCTGAAACGTAATAACAAATCTATACAATTCAACTTTTACCTAATTTTTTATTTGCGCAGGTGCCAATAAAGGCTGGGGAATGCAAACAATACAATAAATATATATATATATATATATATATATATATATATATATATATATATAAAATTTAAGCAAAGAGGACTCTTTATACTTTTTTTAATTCTCTCTAGCTTTCAATGGACTTTGCCATCATCATCAGGAGCTGCAATTACAATGATAACAGTAGCAACAAAAGTGTAAAATGAATTTAAATCGAATCAACTTACAGTAGTATGTGAGGATGTTGCTAATTGTTGTTTTCGTATAGGATGAGGGAAACGTCCAGTAACATGGTGAGAGCTGGATACATGGTACAATGGTTAAAATTATATAAAATATGACAAGTTAAAGACAGATTAAAAATTATTGGATTGATGCTATTATTGGGAATTACATCAATCCAAACAGTACAAGCACCAACCCAGACTCCAGACCTGGTTTTGCTGTCCTGCCCTATATCAAGGAACTGACCCCTAAGCTGATCAGATTGTGCAGTCCTTTGAACTTTCGAATTGCTTGCAGATCCGTCCTCACTAAAAACCGCATTTTTTCAAAAATGAAAGACAAAGTCCTGCTGCTTGGCTTAACTCACAGTCTACTCCATCAATCGCAACAACTGCAACCAAATATACATAGGTCAGACCTCCAGATCTCTTAAAGGAAGGATTACATCACACAAAAGTGATGCTAGGCTTCATCCTGAAAGATGCGCTCTAGCATCTCATGTTAACACAACAGGGCATTCTATGAATTACACAAGTATCAAAGTTCTTGATAAAGAAAAACACCTTTCCAAACGTTTATTTCTGGAAATGTCCCACATGTTCATGAATAACAACTGTATCAACAAAAAGACAGATATTAAACAACTGAGTGTCATTTACTCATATTTGCTAAACTGCGAAAAATTGGAGAACTTACATATCTCCCCAAATTTCGACTTTTCACAACCATAAATATAATCTGTGTTTTGGCCGATTACACCAACAAGTTTCATTCCACTCAAAATCTAATAATTCTCTTCTCACGATTTATTAATAATAATTGTTAATTTAAAATTCCTATTAATTAAAATATAGTTTATTCAACTGCCTCTGGTCGGTTTAACAATTTCCTACATAACATTCTGAAAATCACATCATCTGAAGTGATTTGGCAACGTTTTGGCACACGCCCACAATTCGTTCCATCATTCAACACAGACATTGAAAGCCTTCGGCCTTCTGTCAAAGGTTCATCTCACTCATTATTCCATAACCACCATTTTGCAATCATCCAGTGGCTTCACGACGTAATGCTCAAATGTTTTCTAAATAATTTTTAATCTGTCTTTAACTTGTCTTGTCATATTTTATATAATTTTAACCATTGTACCATGTTTCCAGCTCTCACCATGTTACTGGACGTTTCCCTCATCCTATACGAAAACAACAATTAGCAACATCCTCACATACTACTGTAAGTTGATTCAATTTAAATTCATTTTACACTTTTGTTGCTACTGTTATCATTGTAATTGCAGCTCCTGATGATGATGGCAAAGTCCATTGAAAGCTAGAGAGAATTAAAAAAAGTATAAAGAGTCCTCTTTGCTTAAATTTTGTCGAAGTACCCAACAAAAGGCGGAAGCTTTAATTTTTCACCTAACTGGTCTAGACGACAATGACCACGTCTCAAGTTATATATATATATACATATATATACATATATATATATATATATACAGGGTGACTTTGAAGTTGAGTCATTAATTTTCAGATAATGATTGTAGAAGGAAGATAAACCAAAATATGTGTGTAAAAATAAAAAAAAAATAAAAAAAAATTTTACCTTGTTTTATAAACTATCCTCCCGACAAGTATTTCAGTGCGGACCTGTATTTGATCGTGAGGTCCCCTGTGAGGTCTGAAGTCACCTGATTCACGAGCCCGTTGTACTACATTAACAAAGGCACGAGGGGTTGGTTGCACTCGATTGGGAAACCGATCCGCATAAACATGTGCCATTTTTTATTTCGTTTGAGCCACGCAACAGACACTATTCACACGCGACTGACACAGACTGTATGTATAACTGAACTGAATAAAATAAACATCGTTCCAAATTCTTTCGCTTTTTTGTTTCCGATGCGATGAACCGATAAGGTGGATTATATCCGTTGTTGCCAAACACGAGTACATGATATTATTGAGACAGGGCGGTACTCAAACTTCCAAGGGGCTATAACTTTGTTACTTTAATTTTACCAGAAAAATGGTAAAGGAAAAAAGCATTTCTTTTGATCAGATCTATTCACTGTTAAAATAAATGACTCAACTTCGAAGTCACCCTGTATATATATATATATATACATATATATATATATATAAATCTCACTATTATTTCTGCGTCTGTTCATGCCAATAGGGGTTCAGCGTCCGACGAGTATATAGAAATTTTGGCGGCAATCCACGCAGATCTCATCATTACCGACTGAGAAATATGAAGTATACTGATCTGGGATGCTTTTGTGCTGAAAAAAATATGAAAATCTATTTGACCACTTTTCAACGTCCGTCACATTCAGTGAAGGTTTTTGCGTCCATGTATATTTTTCATTCCACCATCTTTCTACGTCCTTAAGAATATTTCTTTTCGGCTGACACAGGTTTATGCGTCCTGCGGTGTTGCCGATAGGTGAACTTTTTCTTGATCGTCGTGCATTATTTGTAAGAGGCTGTGAAATTCAAGTCAAGCGTGGAGGTCCAGACGACGGATTCCTCGCCAGAGTCCGTTTCACGGCACCCACAAATTTCATTATCCTCTGAACTCATTCTTTCTTTGATATACATAAACCTAGTTGACTTTCTACCTTTATCCAATGAGAGTTGATTTAATTACACTTTAATTTTAATAGCTAGCTTTATTGCTTTGGTCTATCTTTCTATTTTGAAGTTGATACAGCGCTATCTTTGGAAATAAACCATACTACTATAATAAAAATTGATGACAGAATTGCCTTGGAAGTACAGTCAACCTACATGACCTCCATTATTCAACAAGTAAAGCATTGGATGTTTATGACTGAAATATCAAAATGGATTAGCATTAATGTTTATATACGCCATATTTGTGATTGTGAAAAGTCGCTGTAGGTAATAGGCAGTTTTGCAGTACAGTGGAACAAACAGTAAAGGAAAAATCTTTGCAATTTCCGCAATGAAGGAGAAGGAGGAGAGGCAGAAAAAAAAGGATAGGTAGCCTGAGCGACACGTGTTTCTGCTAATTGGCTTCGTCAGGCCCAAATGGATATGCATATCCACCCACCGAGGTGAACAGACATACCCATACACTTGGATACGGGTGTAACCTGAGGAGTCAAGGTCACCTTGATGTGTGGATGTGCACATTTATTTAGGCCTGACGAAGCCAATTAGCAGAGACACGTGTCGCTCGGGTTACCTATCCTCTTTTTTCTGCTTCACTTCCTTCTCCTTCATTGCTGAAATGGCCAAGATTTTTCCTTTACTGTTTAGTCGCTGAAGGATTGAGAGTACCTCTGGATTAAGATCAGACACTTTGAAAACGTCTCGATATAGCGCTTTCAAAGTTAACGTGGTATTTGTTAAACCGACATATTAAAACAACAACAGGTAGTATACAGCCTTTACTGAAAAACTAAAATATTAACAAAAAGTAAACCTAAGTTAAAACTATAAATGAAAGGTATTAGGAATGGATTTTTCCATTCTATGTTGGAAACTTTGAACAAGTAATCGGCCTACCTAAGCACATATTCATTTTCTCTTAGTATATAGATTTTGAATAAAGACTTTGACTTTAGTCCATGATTTGTTTGCTAGCAAATCTGGATGCGTTTCTATCAAAGCCTCACATTCACCACGTTTGGGAGGTTTCTTCTATTTAATGTGTTCCTTGAAAAATTGTGTAACAATTTGTTTTTGTTTGTTGGTCCATGGAACTAAAATACGCTTTCTTGTTTGCTGAGTGCTTTGGTTATTTTCAGTAGCTATGTTTTCTGTATTTCCCTCTGCATCTGCCATATCGTCATCGACAGCAGATACTGTGGCTGATGCGGAACTCTGCTCTTCCCTCAAAATATCCGTCTCATTTTCTTCTATCATTTCTTCCACGTCTACGTCTATCTCGTCTAGAGCTTTACCTTTGTATTTCCCAGCTTCTCCTTTTTCCATCAACATAAGTAACTTGGCAATCTTTGCCGTCTGATATACGTCGTCTGGTAGCCTATAAACATGTTTATGTACATTCATGGTATGTCCCATGAAGGTGGCTAATTGCTCAATGTCCCCTTCAGTCATATTAAATAGTTGCGTCAGTGTCGCAAGGTGTTTTCTCAGTCTAGTCGAAGTTAAAGCTTGTGGGTTTTTGGCACCACACATGTTCGCATGCTTTTGAACTACCTTGTATCCAACAATGGGTTGGCATTCAGAATTCGGATTTGCGAAAAGAAAAACATTTTTTTCTTTTATAAATGTAGCTCGTGCGTCCAACAAAACCTTGATGTGGTCTTGTACATCTCTACTAAACAAAACTGGTACTCCTCTGTCCCTTTTTCCTCGAGTTACGACTCTCTTAAAATTTTTTACAAGTACCTGCTCTGCAGATGTAATTGCTTCAGAAAATTCTTCATAATGTGTGGCACTTGTATTCCCAGCTGCCATGTAAGTTGTTACTTCTATTCTTTGTAGTTCACCCACTCTTTTACGGTTTAAAAGTAATGTTCTACAAAATGCTGTCTCCATTAATAAGATGAGTGCCTCAAAATTATTTTTAGTTTGTTGCAATCGTCGAGCAGCTGTATTTCCCTTCTCTATTAGATAGTTTCTGAACAACTTCAAGTCTGCAGCTAGTGGGACCAGTGTCACTTTGTTCCATGTCTTCGTGTTCAAGTCCCTTCCAGCATGACTTGAAATTTCATGCTTCCACATATTCTCCAATAATTGTCGGAACACCCCGATATTTGCTTCTGCTTGTGAGGCAGAAATTGTCAAATAATTACATTTTTTTTGACAATATGTAAAACTGCCATATCACAACAGTCTTATGTTCATCGCAAATGTCGGAGATTCGAAAACATCTGTTTGCGTGTTATATCTGGCAATAACTTTGACACTTTGTACTACACTGTCAAAGTGCTGTGGCTGAAGCACGTCAAATAAGTTTTTGATTGCAGGATCTAGTTTTTGACATTCCATCAAAACCTTGGCAAGTTCTCTCATTTTTCTTGAGCAAAAGTTAACGTGATGTTGCTCTCTGTGTGTTGATGTACCTAGATCCAAAGGCACATATAAGAGCATCTTTTTTTGCTATCAGTGAAATTTTATCGGCCAACATCTGTGGGAAGACTATAGTCTTTAATGCAGAATTTGCTATATTCTTAGGTAGCATAAGGTCTTGACCTTCACTTAAAGGAACGGTTTTTGAAGGATCCTTATTTAGTGGACAAATTCTTTTATGTTTCCATAGTAGCTTACGTGTGTAAAAACCTAGGCAGAAAGGACAAGGCATATAATTTTCTTCGCTATCATTCACAGCACTTTTATGTACTGGCTTAGAAAAAGTACTTGAATTTTTAATAAAATTGCCCATCTTTCTTATGCAACGTTTCCTATCAATCGAGTTAACTAGTAGTGATAGAATATTTTGGACTTCACTTTCCCCTATATGGTTGCGCTTTATATGTCGTGCAAAGTTTAGCACATCTTCATCACAAAAAAAGCAGTAATCTGGTTGGCGTATGTACTTTTTCTTCTTCTTCTCTTCACTCTTCTGTCCGGGTTTGATTACTATGTCTATAACTATGACTATTTTGCGGTTACTTGCCACCTGTAAACCAATAGATGTTACTGTAAAACATGAATGAATATTCCACTCTTATGAAACCTTACCTCTACCTTTGGTAAAGATCGCCACTTGAATCCGTATCTGGTATATAAGTCGGATCTTCATCAGTATCTGAAGAAAATAAGGCTTCCTCACTGGATGGACACTCCACTTAAGCGTCTGTCCAATAAGGATGCCCTATAGCCATCGTATAGTGACGAGGATCGAACCTATATATGTAAATGATTGAGACTCCAGTACAAATGTTAATAAGGTGTCTTTACACAGGTCAGGTTTTCTATTACATATTCGATATCATCGTAATTGCTGTCATGAGGATTTTATTGCAACATCCACTGGTTTACAGGTAAGTAACCAAAAGGTAGGAATACTTTCAGACTTAATAATCAAACCCCGACAATCACCACAGAAGATGCGAATTTGTAGGTAAAGGTATATCAACGCGTCGGAAAACTGCTATTGGGAAAAAATAAAAATTTATTAATTCTTTTTTTATTGTGGGCTGAAATGCGAAATAGTATATGGTACTTTAAATAACGATTAATACCATGGTTACTTGTTATGAATAGAGATAGTGAGAATGCTGTTGTTTTTAGGTCTGTTCTGTAGGCCTAGAGAACAAAAAAATAGTTTAAACACATCGTCTAGTGAAACGTGCTAGGTAGATTGTTGTTGTTTCTCTAATGAAGAACTTCAAAGCGTCGCCAGAAATATACAGCGGAATTATCTGAACAGAAGTGAAATTAAAAAAAATCCAACATTGCCTGTCAATTCAATCGATAGAATGTCATAGGCAACTTAAGGAGGGAAGAGTAATTTTATTGAAAACTCAAGTGTCGTTTTCAAGTTGGTTAATAAAATGCTGTCAGTAATATCGAAAAAAATTATATTTATTGCCCTTTCTGCTCTGGCTTTTACACATGTTAGCTCGTTAAGGAACATGAAAAAAATTGTCTCTTTTGATCTATCCAAATTGAAAATGCTTATACATGTTTGAATTAAAAAAAAAGAAAATCGATTGTCACTATGGTTTTCAATAAAAAATAGTATGATAGTAACATATGATTGATATTTAGCCGTCGTCCGAAATGCAACAGCTACGCACCAGATTGAGTATCATTTTTACAAGCGAATCATACCGCAAGGCGATGTTGTCACATTTTAGGACGCAGAATCATTAAAATCATGTGTCCATGAAATATACATCCTGCATATTTGAGTAGCGATAATTACGCCACTGCGGCCAATCTTAGAACTACCGCCAGATAACAAGTGTACATTTTACCATCTTTCTACGTCCATATTAATGTGTGCTATGTTTTATACCACAACTTCTAGAAAAAAGACGACCCTAAAAAATGAAAGTCCCTATGCAACTGACGCGATTATTCTACGCGGGAAGTTTGATATCGCATGTAGGACAGAATTATGGTACCAAATTCTTTCTGCGTCCGTATATGGACGTACAAAGGTGGTGGACGCAGAATAATATGTAAATGGAGAAATGTACGGATGCAGAAGAGTGAACAGGATGTATATATACATATATATATATATATATATATATATATATATATATATATGTACGAGAAAATCTATGATGAGGATCTTATAAAACGTCAAAAAACAAAGTTGAGCAATTTTTACTTCTTTACTCTTTTACCCTAGCTCCGCCGCCACTGGTTACAAGGGTCACCTCCTAAGCTGTTTCCACAAAAGTTTGTGCATGACCACAACGATCACCAGAATTGATTCCCGTAGATATTTTCCCGTAGTTGTAGTTCGGGGCAAAGTTCTACGCATTTAAAAGGATATTCGTCCGAAGTGAGCAACATTGAATCCGCATTGTGCAAAATCTGATGAACAGAATTCCAGGTATAATGAAATGGAGGACATATATATGACGTAATCTTTAGAAATAAAATTCGCACTTCTGTTGTTTTATTTTTGATAAAAATATTCTTTCTCAATACGTACTACTAAATCTAAATTTTCTCTGTATATTCCCATTAGTTAAAAAAAACTACAGGTTTGTAATAATTCAGGACATTCAAAATTAAGACCAACAACAGCTATAATAAATAATAAAAGCAGACTCTATCAACTGCTTTCTGTGTCGAAACGAAGTTTGTACCAATACGCATTTTTGAAAATTTGATTGTGATGTACACGTATTACAACTATTTAAATATTGCATTTGCCCTGAAACGATTCGCATATTCTAGTAGTGCTTTCTGGGAGATCTAATCTTTACTGTATTTCCTCAAAGATGATTTTTATCAGTTTTTTTAGTCTAAACGAACCCGGAAAACAATTGTTTGCATTAATTTTCGTATCAACTGGTGTTTATTCGCTTATTGGAATTTATAAAAAATGATGAAACAATACTTCAACAAAAAGCCGGAAAGAATCTAGAATCTATGTATAAATGTAGTGGATATTTTTCATGCGGTATAAAACTGTAGAAAGCAAAGTCTAAGCTCCACCTTTATCCTTATAATCAGGTAAAAAATCAATTAAATTAACCGTTCGGTCTGATACAATTAAAAGAAACGATACTATCTATCGGGTAAAAATAAGTAACAGATTATAGGAAATTGTATGGTAGATAAATGGCTCGATTGACGCGGTTTATAGACCGCAAGCACTTTCAGAAGCAAAATCCAAAAATGTGTGACAGAAAAAGCCGATAATCGTGACTATGACACAAACTACAAACCGCGATTGATTGAAAAACCATGGTCTGTCGGGTATGAATATGCAGATTGTGATGATTCGTACTGTGTTAACCTTACAAATTTTACCGGTGATAAAAAGTCATAGAGATAATTCAATTGATGTGTAAAGGAAATTCCTAGAAGAGTATTCATTGTTTGACAAGCTGCACTGTTAAAATAACTGTGTTATAAGATTGGTAGATATGGTTCGTCCAATCAGCACAAAGACTGCTAACGTCTTTAACGGGGTTTTTGTTCCTGAAAATATATAACTCAAATCTCTCGATGATCACATCAATTAAATCCTTACTTTTAAATATCTTAGAATACATTTGTTTTGAACTTAAATCGATATTTTTTTCGTTTCAGTATTTGATTGTTCTTTGAAAGCTCAAAATTCCTAATTTATTTTATTTATTTATAAAATTTCCCCATTTTCGAATGTTTAACTTAGGATTTTTATATGAGCACATAGCTCTCACTTTTAACATCATATCTATAATAAAACACCCTGATGCACAAAACATATGTAATAATGAAAGTGTTCCTTTGCTGCACTCACATTCGAAAAATAAGTTGAAGTTTCATTAATAAAATTTATTGATTTTTGTCAACCTTTCTGTAAAAATAGGTGAATGAATCTTGGACAAAAATATCAAAATACAGAGAATACAAAAAAATTAAGACAAAAGTTTAAAAAAAAAAATTTGATAAAAGCTTAAAATACGTACGTTCTAAAGTACTTAAATGAAAAAATTTCATAGATACCTTCAACATGAAATTTGAGTCATCTTCTGGGCCGAAAACTTATAGATTATAGATGCTGACCTTTCAAATGCGTGTTCCTGACAGCAATGCTTGTTTGTTTTTAAAACATGGAGCAAAATCCAAAGAGCTGTGGATACTTTTTTTTCTAAAAACAAATAGTACAATAACATTTTTTCACCAGCCAAAATGACCTGTAAAGTTTCTAAATTGATAAAAACTTGTTTTCAGTATCCTCACCATAGACGGTTGAAGTTTTGATGAAATATAGGGCTGATTTGCTTCTAGATATTGCCTATACGGTATATAAAAGTACTAGTTTGCACAATTTCAGTGAAAGCAGTGTGAGAATGTGAAAAAATGGCAAATCGGTTAGTTGCTGGATGCAACTCAATATGAAAGAAGCGACTTTGGTACATTTGGAAAAATTCAGCACTCTATAACAAAAATACTGGAATCTTGTGTTCTACCATTTTGAGTAGCTTTTCTAAATTGAGAAACACTTATAATTTTTGTTGTTAAAAAAATAATATCTTCGAAAACATTCGTATTTGCAAAACGACGCGATTTTTAGTGAATCACTAAAAAGGGCAAATATTATGTTCCACATGCTTGGGAAACATGCTATGTATTGAGTTAGGTGTGCTTCAATTTCATTTATTACATTTCGTCCGTTCAAATGCATTTCGAAGTTCTATAAAATGCATCTATATGCAGTACATGTTGTTTGTGTTTTTCTCTATTTATTTTCGATGCAATTTATCATTTTAGTTATACACTTCAGCATCCATATTGTATCAATCAAACTAATCGTATATTTCATGAGCGTCGGCAGAAATTAACTGCAAAAAGGGTGGCTAGATGTATTTCCGAAAAACGGAATGTTAAGATAT